CAAGACACGGCCCCGGCTGTACAATATGCCATGCACAGGAAGACCAGAGCGAACCTCCGTGGCTTTCGAGGAGGTTTTGGGTGGGTGTTTACCCTGAGCATCCCCCCGTGCATTGCATATGGCAGGATCAGGGCAGAAAGCAAGGGCTTACAGAGGCAATTGCTGGCGGAAGAGTTTTTTAATACATTGTACAAGGCACTTCATAAGAAATCTCTTCATTTTTTTTTTCCTCTTCTCTTCTAAGACTTACTGGATGTCTACACTTGGCTCTTGCCGATACCGCTTTATGGTTATAGTTTTTAAACTTCTTATTCTACATTCAGGATTAGAAACCTCTGAAAACATTAATTCAGTTCGTTTTCGTCTGCAGAATTTAGATGCTAAGCCATCTAAACCACCTAACGTTTTCCAGGATGGGGAAAAGACCTTGCATCTGCCTTCTGCTGGTGTTCAAGGGGTGTTCTTATTTTGAAAGGTGAGAAGATCCGTCTTCCTGGAAGAACTCCTGGGAAGTGTCCACATTGAAATGCTGTTTGCAAAAGCATATGGTCCTCCGTGCTGCCAAATACACCTGCAACTCCCATTCCCTTCGCAGCGCTCGCCGGTCGACTGCCCCAGCATCCTACACCTCTGTTCCATCCCGGGTGTAGATGAGGCTGTTAACCGTGAAGTTGTAGTAGTGGTTGTACTGGGCTCCCTGGCTGCTGCTGCTGGGATGGAAGGAGCTGTAGTAGGCGGGGGAAGGTCCCGCAACCCGCTGCAGCTGGTCTGGTGAAGGCACCTCCTGAGAAGAGCTGCTGGAAGGGGTGAAAGTGCCACTGCTCAGCTGTCCAGCAGAGAAGTTCCTGTGGTGCAGGTCACTGCCGAGACCCCCCGTCAGCCGGCTGCCTCCGCTGCTCAGCGAGCTCATGCCGCTGAAGAAGGTGCTGAGGCAGCTAGGGGTGGATGAAATGATACCGGAGGGAGAGGAGCTTTTTGGATGGTCCCTGGCAGAAGACGAGGGGTCCAGCTCTGGGGGTGGGCTGTTTCCACACGGTTTGCCTGCGGCTGGGATGGGTCGCTCTTCCTCGGCCTTCAGGCCCCCCAGAGAGGAGGCCGCGGATGCGGTCGCGGGGGCGTTGGGCTCAGAGCGCCGCTTGCGTTTGCGACGGAAGTTCCCGTTGTCAAACATCTTCTCACAGTTGGGATCTAAGGTCCAGTAGTTTCCCTTCCCTGGTGGAAAACAGGACAAACAAGAGAGAAAGTCAAATTCCGTGACAGTGAGCCCCGCCGCAGACAGATAAGCAATATCCATGCCTTGTCCGATCAGCACAGCACCCACACCTCTCCTACACCTGTTCCTCCTCTACCTGTTTTCCAGTACAAGGATCCAAAACATGGCTCCAGGACACCATCACACCCACCCCTCCCATGCCCAAGTGAACCTTAAGGCCACACAGGAGAAAGAGAGCCGCCCCATCACTGAGCATAAACCTCTCTGGAGGATCTGCGCCTCTGCCTCAGAGCTGGCCGAAGGGAAGGCGAAGCGGGGCTCCCCTTGCTCCGGCTGCCCCACAGCGAGCAGGGGCACGCACTTAGTGCGAGGGGGCTGCGGTGGCATTAGCATCCCCGCACACCTCCTGCCCATGCCCGGGCCTGGCGGGAGCGGTGACCCCACAACAACCCCCGAAGGCCCCAGACCGGCACGGCCCATCCCGCCCGGGCCGGACCTGCACCGTCCCGGCGCGCCTCCG